GTGGACTGAAGGGTCCCAGGTTCGATTCTGGTCAAGGGCATGTACCTGGGTTTCGGGCACATCCCCAATAGGGGGTGTGCAGGAGGTAGCTGATCGATGTTTCTCTCTCATCAATGTTTCTCTCTATCCCTCTCCCTTCCTCTCTGTAAAAAATCAATAAAATATATTTTTTTTAAAAAAAGATGTGGTAAAAGTGGTATGGATACTCCAGGTGACTAGAGACGTTATGGAGTAGAGTGGCAGAAAGGTAAATAGAGCTCCAGAAGGTGCGTCAAGTTTCCATTGGATCTCTTTGATCAATACAAAGTCACACATGGATAGAGTGAATCTGAGCAATTCTCAGGCCTCACATGGGATAGGGAGATTGTTAGAGTGGAGAGACCTTGTGAACACTCAGGGTATTTGGTTGAAACACAGAAATAACTTGACTTAGCAGTTCAGCTCTAGGTCAAAGAATTCTCTCTAGACCACCCTGACAAAGCTTAAAAACAGCCTCAGAAATATCAAGTTGATGCTCTAGTAATTTAATTGCCTGCCAGAATAGAAATCAAGACTCTAAAGGAAGAAAAAAAAATCTAGACACTCATCAACACAAAATTCAAAATTTCCTACACCAATAAAAAATTACTACACATGCCAAGAAGTAGAAAAGTGTGATCCATAACTAGAGGAGAAAAATTAGTCAATAGAAATAGACTCAGAAATGACAGAATGATAGAATTAGTAGACAAGAATTTTAAAATAGCTATTATAAATATGTTCAAGGGTTTAAAAGATAATGTAAACATAATAGAGAAGTAGAAAGTGTATCAATAAATGATATAAAAATTTGATATACATCTAGATATAGATATATGATATAGGTATAGATGTAGATGTAGATATAGATGATATAGATATAGATGATATTAGATATATAGATATAGATAGATATAGATACAGATATAGACATAGGTGGTATAGATATATGATATAGATATATAATATAGGTATAGATGTAGATATAGCTATAGATAGCTATAGATTTAGATATAGACACTGACATAGAAATAGATATATAGTGTAATTTCTAAAACTGTTCAACCAAGGGGGACTGAAACATAGAATACTAGTATTCATCCACTAACTCCTGCACTCAGTAAATGATATAGAAGATGATATTAGATATATAGATATAGATAGATATAGATACAGATATAGACATAGGTGGTATAGATATATGATATAGATATATAATATAGGTATAGATGTAGATATAGCTATAGATAGCTATAGATTTAGATATAGACACTGACATAGAAATAGATATATAGTGTAATTTCTAAAACTGTTCAACCAAGGGGGACTGAAACATAGAATACTAGTATTCATCCACTAACTCCTGCACTCAGTAAGGGTTGCCTTTGAAGGCTTAAAATCACTGGCCATCTTGCCTGTGAGCTGAGAAAACTCTCCCTGCCATTTCCCCCTTCTCATGCTCAGATGAAGAGAGCCCGCAAGAAAAGAATCAGAAGGATAGAGGAGACTGAGTTGAGAAGCTGTCAGCAGGAAGGTATGCTGCCCATTGCAACTAATTGGTATGCAGAAGGGATATGGAGTGGGGCATTAAGGGTGAAGACAGGACTAGCCCTTTCTGCTATTATTTGTGTGGCTAGTCAGAAACACAAGAGACAGTGTCATCTGTCACTCTGAATGGCCTCCATTATGCAACTGCAAGTCTGCTATCTCTGCCTCCCCCAGTGTCTCTCCAGTTACTTCTGGGAGTCCTGAAAGGACATTCGGTAGAATTCACAAAGAAGAACTCTCAAGGACAGACTAGGGACAGCCATATTTCCTTCTTTCTGGCTCTAGCTTTTTTGGTTACACTGTTCAGGAAACCTCAGTCATTGTTGCCTTTGCTCTTTCTTTCCTGCTGATGACCTCCAAGGTTGGGATGTGTCACGTAAGATTATTTACTTATTTCACCCATGACCACCATCTCATACACCCTTTTGTCCCATTTCCTGTCACAATACTCTCAATGAAAGACTGCTTTGTACTTGAAAAGTCTCAGGGAAATTTGGTGTGAAAATTACACTACATATCCCATGAGATCTGGGACTAACGCTGAGACAATGTTCATGGAGTTGGCCTGAGGATCAATGGCAAATTTCTGGAGCCATCCTTGCAACAACTTCAGAAAGTGTATTCTGCTATTATCTTCATTCTATAGAGGGTAAATGAAGTCAAGAAACTTGCCCAAGATCACACAGTCAACAAGTAATAGAGCTGGAATTTAATCTAAAGTTTATTTGGTTCTTTGAAACCTATGTCTTTAACCATCATATAAACAGAAACATCTTTCTCTGTTTTATGCTCCATGTTACATATTGACAAGAGTTAAGTGGACAGTCCAGATGGAACAAGACAATGTTTGGGTACAAGAATTGATCTTAGGTGTGAGGGCTTTATTGAGCCCTTGGGGTCCTACCTGTAAATATTTTCCAATGTCCTTTGACTTGGGGCAAGGGAATGAATGGCATTTATGGAGCTTCTAGAAAGGTTTCCATTTATTTACTTCTGTACAGTTCACAAATTTTCTTCCTTTTCATCTCATTCATAACTAACTTAATAACATTAGTATTATAAAGAGATTATTATTTTTAACTCTTTTAAGTGCAAAGAAAGCTCACAGAGGTTGTTTAGGGGTGAAAGGACAGGTTTTAGGAAATTTTAGAAATTAAGGGGACCATGGAAGAAACATAGGGCTGCAGAGCAGCAGGAGGTACATTTCCATAGAGTAGGGGAGCTGAAAAGCTGCAACAGGTACATTTCCATAGAATGAGGGAGTTGGGAACAGCAAAAGGTCTATATTTACAAAATAAAGAGAAGGAAGCCCTTCATCCAGAAGGAGAAGGAGAAACCCCAAAGGGAATAGGAAAACAATAAGGAAGGAGGGGGGAGAACCTCTCATGTCCCATGTGAGGTTCAACCTTTGAGCCCAGGAATTACTATAGTAACAAGTCTAAGGTAATAGTGACCAATCAGAGGGGATATCAAGGCACCAAGATCTGCAGCCTTATAAGCTGTGGGGAAAGGGAACTCAGTGGGACCCTTTCTCCCTATCCACGTGGGAGTCTGTACTTGTTCTTTAATATATTTCCACCTTTGCTGTACCACCTTCTGTCCGTGGATTCATTCTTTGACTCCAGCAGATAAAGAATCCGGGTTCCAGTCCAAAAATTCTGCTTCATTGCTACTTAGAATAAAAGCCCATATTTACCCACCTACTTGGGGCAAGCCAGAACTTGATCTCAAGTATTCAGGCTGCTTCTTGCTTCTGCTAAAGGCTTTACCACAGGTCTCAGGATTTACTGAACAAGTCCTGAATCAGAGACAAGCACACGCCCCACACATCCACAAATATTCCTGCTTTTAAGGTTTGGAGTGTAGTTTCTTTTAGATTATAGGGATCTTTCCTCCCTTGACTTACAATTTTGTTTGTCTTGAAAACCTGAGTGCCGCTGTCAACCTGGGGCAGTACTGAATACGAAATTCCAGTGGACTTTCTCAAGTCAAGCAATCTATCAGGTTCCATAGAAATTGCACGAGGAAAAGTAGGAACTAAAGCAGTCAAATCTTAAAACCATGCACTTGATAAATTGGTATAAAGGATTGGAACAAACATTAAACTAACTGGTAGTTCCTTATAAATGACCTGGAGAGTGTTATGCTAAGCGAAATGAGCCAGTCAGAGAAAGACAAGTATCACATGATCTCACTCATATGTGGAGTCTAATGAACAAAATAAACTGTTAAACAAAATAGACCCAGAGACATAGAAACATGGAACAGACTGTGGAATCTTAGAGGGAATGTGGGGGGTAGGTGGGCAGGAGGTATGAGATCTATCAAAGAACTTGTATGCAAATATGCTTATCCTGCGGACACAGACAATAGGTTAGTGAAGGCCTGGGGTAGGGAGTGGGGGCAGGCTAGAAGGGGTCAATAGGGAAAAAAGGGGGACATATATAATACTTTCAACAATAAAGATTTAAAATATATAAAATGTATTAACTCCTCAAAAAAAGTAATTGAACCACCTGGCCGGTGTAACTCAGCAGCTGAACACTGACCCGGAAACCGAGTTTGATTCCCAGTCAGGGATGTTTCTATCTCTCTATCCCTCTCCCTTCCTCTCTCTCTAAAAATCAATACAAATTAAAAAAAATTGTAACACAACTATCAATTAGATATTTTCCTATGTGAAGTATTCAGCCATTCACTTTTTCTGCTTTTACTGATGAATCAAATTATTTCAGTTTTGAAAAAAAAAATCTGCTTTACCACCATTTCACAGCCATGCTTCATTAAACTGTCAATAATCATTTGAAAACCCATTCAGCAAAAACAATGCAATGGGAGTTCTTGTTAAGAAAGCTATAAAAATGTAAATCTTTTTAAGGAGGAGATAAACTTGAGTAGCTAGGTAGCAAGGAGCTCCTTATTGAAAAAAGAACAACAACATAGCAGTAGCCCTGCTCCATGTGAATCAGTGGACTGAATGTCCTCTTGTGCACTGAAGGGTTGCTGGTTAGATCCCCAACCCACGTCCAGGCACATACCCAGATTGGGAGTTCAGTCCCGGGCCCCTGGTCCCTGGAAAAAAAACGCCCCCGCCCCCTTCCTTTCTTTCTAAAATCAATAAAAACATATGACTCTTGCACTAAGAGGGGAAAGGTTGGTCCACAGTTAGGAAACCACATTCTTGGGTAGGTGAGAGCCAAGGGGAGTGACAGCTATCACTAGATGAAGTTAGCATAACCTATAGTTTGATTTATATGTGTAGCCAATTGAATACCCAAGGGAGGGTGGGGCATTGAGAAACATTGATGTAAATTATCAGATTATCCAGTAAAGCTTTTTTTCCAGAAAATAAAACAAGCATCATTTATTTTGAAATATTTTATTTTATGTTCTTTTTTTTGCAAAACCATCAATAAATAATTAAATCTTTTTGTCTTAAGACACAAATATTGCATAATTGACACTAACCAAGGCATTATGCCTTACAGGAAAGACATGAAATGTCCAAGGGATATTTAGTTTTTAAGCTTCAACATTAGAAATGTTGACCACATATTGTGAAATTGTTCCAATAAATAACAACTGACATTCTTTTAAATACTTACAAAAATAGATGCACACATACATTCCCCTACCGTTACTAATTATTTCTTGGATCCTCCATCCTCTATCATAGCAGCTGACATTGCTGTGGGCTCCTCAGAAATATTATTTTAATGACTAGAGAATATTTGCAAACATTTTACCTTCAAACTGAATAAGAATCAGAATCGTATGAAGTTGGGTTTGCCATAATATAAACAATAAAAATAACAGTACAATGCCCAAGTAGAGGCAATGACATCCTTAATGATTTCACATGTAAAATATTAACATAGAATATTTGAAAACAACCGATAAATAAATAAATAAGTCGAAGAAGTCTCCTAAGAGATGCTCAAACATAAGTCCAATCAAGGTGACTTTGGGGGCTGATGATTTCTCTTAATCTTCTTCGATTTCTGTAGGGCAGGGCCTGCTTCAGGTAGAGCCACCAATCCGCTTCCTGCTTCGTCTGGTCAGTTGGAGCTGCCCCTATCATGAAAAAAAGGGTGTCCTTAGTAGCTGCTCAGGAAAGCCAGCGGCACAGCACTCTCCTCCTGCCCTCTAGATTCCAAAGTCTTCTGAATCTAGTTTTCCTGACCTGTAGGAAGTGCCTGCTTCTAGGCTGTGTGGCTGAGAGCTCTAGGCGCTTGGATGCTCTTATTTAGAAATGCAGGGGTGGTGGTGTCTGGGGTCCTTACCACCACCTCTGCATTCCCAAGTAAGGACTTATTCCTCAATAAGGTGAATTGTTGACTTCAAACAGCCAGAACCTCTTGGGTAGGTGAGTGCCAAGGGGAGTGACATGGGATTATCTGTCACACTGGGTCTCACTTGAGCTTCACAGCAACCCCAGGTAGTAGCTACTATTGTTTTACCAAGATTAGAGAAGCTAAAGTATTTTCCTCGAGGTATATGGCTAATAGGTGGTCAAACCCAGATTTGTACTCAATGCAGTGTCACTGCAAAGTCCCTGTTCATCACCACTAAGATTTGGGGCCTGTGATGCAGAGAAATGAGGATTCTGATTTTCAAGCTTGAAGCTCAGAAAGAATTGGGTGGGGGGAGGGCATTAACAGGTGGGAAGCTTTTTAGCATAACTGCCCAACACCAATGAGAATTCTAATGAAAGCTGCTTTCCCACCTTCATCTGAATGGGGGTGGAAAGGGAAATGGGGATGGCAAGCACTGGAAATATCCTCCTGGACCAGAGCGCCTTCATGATCTAAATGGCAAATCTAACTGTGAACTAATGACTTTTCACTCCTCCAGCTACCCCCTGGGCTTCCCTGATTTAGTTTTCAGGAGGCAGAGGCCACTACCTGTCACAAATGACTCTAGTCACATAACTCACTTGTTTAACATCTTGTCCAATATTTTCTTAACCAGGGGGGATGCGGGGTTGAGACAAACTTTCTGTCCATTCTTGAGAGTGGCTCTGCAGACAGAAGGGAGAACACAAGTGAGACAGGAGGGCGGGCGAGGGTCAGGGTGGGGGCATCTGGGCGGTGGAGGTGACCAGGATGGTGGCAGCAGCAGAGCATGGTGGCACTTACATGACTTCTGTTCGGTCGCAGTGGGGTCCTGGGGACGTCACCTTCACACTCTGGATGTTCCTGGGGTGAATTCCTTGCAAGGTCTGCAAGCACTGGCAGCGCAGTTCAGTGATCACGGTCTCCTCTGCGAGGACCATAGGCACCGATGCGGAGACCATAGGCGCCGCTGCAGGGACAACAGGCTCGGTTAGCGGGATGCCCCCAATGGGCGCCCACCCTTCATCCCCTTTTTCCCCCTTGGGCTCCCAGGGCTCGAGTCTCACCTGCAGCTTGCCGGCAGGCGGCGACCAGGAGCAGGAGCAGGAGCACGGCGGAGCGCGGGGTGCAGCAGCGGTGGTGGCGGTGCGGGCCATGGGGCTGAGCTCGGAGGATCGGTGCTGCGGTGCCTGGAGTGTGAGAGCTGGCAGGAGAGCTGGTGGAGCGAGATCCGTGGCTCCCCGAGACCGGTGAATCCCTTTTATCCCTGGTCGGGGAGGAAATTGCCTGGGGCAGGAAATTCCCGGACTTACACGTGGTTGCCTGGTCGGACCGAGGGTGTGGTCGGGCCCCTGAGGGGTGTCGGGGTGGAGGACCTGAGGGTTCGTCCTCTCACTGACTAAGCGGACTGTACGATGTTCTTTCTGCCCAAATTCCCAAAGCGGGGATGAGTCGCTGCCATGCAGGAGCTGCTGTCAGAGGGGGGATCATGGGCGCCCAGTGACCCTAGTGCGCAGGGTGGAGAAAGGCTGGGGGAGGATCCATGAGATCCTCCAGGAAAGGTGACACGTCTTTAGAGGGAAAGAGCTGTCTCTTTAGTTAACAGACCTGGGGGAATCAAGGAGGGGTGTGAGGGTAAATTTTACTTAGCTATCTATATGTACTATATTTATATGCACCCCATGTCTCTCTAGATTTCAGGTTTATATATAGTGCTCTTTGTTAAAAATACCCCAGTCATCTCGGATCCAGAGAGGAATGTTCTACCTGTCCCCTTGTTTTATAGTCTCAAAGCACACTTAGCATATCTTGGTTTTATTTTCTATTTGGTGATGAGGGATCTGTGTCAACATTTACTCAAGTGTTAATTTCAATGACAATTGAAGGCTGTAATATGACCTCTTCTGTATCCTACTGAACCTCCTTATTCCCTCTTTAATGTTGCAGCTTCCAAAATTCCTGGGAGATCTCCTTTCCCACATGAGGGGGTTCCGATTTGAACTATGACATACAAGACTGATGGTCACTCTGAAGCTTCCCAGGGGCCAGTCGGGCAGGCTCACCGCATCCCCTTCTCCGGTCTATCCTTGGACAAAATAGCACCTGAACACTAGGATGAGGGACCTGCTGCACCCTTACTCCCGTTGCATGGGGATGAAGCAGGGTTTCATTTACTACCAGAACTCAGTGTTGGTTCCCCTTTCTCTAGAAACAAACATTGACACATCTGTTTTCTGACCAGGAATTTCAGTCTTTTAACCTGATGGGTTTACTATTTTCTCAAATAGTAAAACATTGACTCAACATGAAGTATAGAGGATTCAAATGTAATTCTCCAGGTTGGATTCAGACCTCTTGGAGACATGGAGTAATGGGAGGAGGGGGAGGAGAAAGGAATGGCCACTGGCCCAGCAATGCATGTTCAGGGACAGGGGTCCAGGCAGCCCCGCTCCGTGGATATGAGTCTGTACCCCATAGCCAGACACTGGATATGCAGTGAAGCCACCTGCATTTAGTTGCCACCTGTCACTTACAAGGTAATTATTTCTTTGCCTTCCCTAATGTAGTTAAGGGAAATGAGTCATTTGTGAGAGCCAGCATGGATTAAGTGCCTTATAAACGTTTGTTAAATAAATAAACTGGAAATAGCTCTTTTTTTCCCCAGTTTGCCGAAACAGAAACTCAACCTGTGTGAATCCTAGAAAGAAAAAAAATCGTGATGAAAGGTTCACTCCTCAACTTTTCTTTTCACATTTAAACTTTTCTATATCAGGCATTCTAAAAGCAAGGCACACCTGAATTCTACTAGGATTTGCATTTATCTGGATTTTTTTTTTTTTTTTTACTGCTCTATCATTGATTTCTATTGTAGTCCCACTTTCAATCATTTCATCTGTAAAAAAATGCAGTTTGCATTGAAGACTCTCCATCTGCCCTGGCTGGTTTGGCTCAGTGGATTGAGCTTGAGCCTGTGGACTGAAGGGTCCCGGGTTCGATTCTGGTCAAGGGCACGTGTCCAGGTTACAAGCTCCATGCCCAGTGTGGGGCGTGCAGAAGGCAGCCAATCAATGATTCTCTCTCATCATTGATGTTTCAATCTCTCTTGCCCCCTCCTTTCCTCTCTGAAATCAATAAAACATATTTTAAAAAAAGACTCTCCATCTTATTTATTGAAAGTGATTTACAAAATGCATGACTATTTAAAAAACAAAACAAAACTCTAGTGTTTATCAATATGGTCCTGAGAGAAAAACCAGGGAAATGAAAGAGACATAAAAATTTGTGTTAAGCAATAGGAAAGGAGAAACAATCTAAAGCTTATAAAATATATGATAGCTCGCCCTGGCCGGTTTGGCTAAATGGATAGAGCGTCGGCCTGCAGACTGAAAGGTCCCAGGTTCGATTCCAGTCAAGGGCATGTTCCTTGGTTGCGGGCACATCCCCAGTGGCAGGGGG